AAGAAGGTTGGAGTGTCTATTTCTATTCTTCTTGAAATTTCCTCATTTGTCACATAATCTGGCAATAATATTCTCAAAATTTGGTATTAAAACCACATCCCAGTTGTTTCAAGTTTCATCTTCATGTGCAAAGATAGTGTCCAACATTCATTGACATATACGAAGGTAAACATTACATAGCAGTTCATCACTTTTTTCATTGTTTCCAATGGCATTTCTTGATTCATTAGTACATTGCTAATTTTCTGAAAAGTAATTTTGACTATTCATATGATGTTTACATTTTTATATCACAATTTCTATCTTTTGACTCAGAGAATTGAATTTCTGCCACTGTTTGATTTTGATATCCCTAATGTGTAACCCTAACATTTGGTTGTTTCTTTTGCTGACAACCAGACAGTCTAACTTCTTATAATTAGTCCTTTCTTCATGCTTTCATCAACTAACTTGTCTAATAATTATGTTTGCATGAAACGTCTGGTGATTAAATGCATTGATATTAAACTGTGAATAAGATAGGAAAAAATGATCCTCAAAGAATCAGATTTTTTTCAGAAATAAAGGAAGGATTCTTTTTTCTGACCAAAATTAGTGGATGCATCTCTGTGCATGTCTTGAAGTTCCAAAAGTGAATCATTAAAAAAATATGATTACATTTTAGGTCGCCCTATTCCAAAGTATCTTGGATGTTTAATTATCATGATTCATGGGACCCATAACCCATAATGGTCTTAGAGGCACTGCACATACTGCAGCTGCAGAAGCAATGGTGTTTCCTAGGCAAGACAGCCTGCCAAGGTCCAATCCTCTACAGGCTGGTTTTGAATTCAGAGTTTTCCTTCTTCTAGACTAGTCATGAACCAAGCTACTATTTACCCATATCTGGGGGGGGAGTGATGGATTTATAGCTTTGCCAAGAGTATTAACATATAAGTGAACATAATGAACTCAGCTATTTGATTCCTCAATCTGAGCTATTATCCTCTGCACCTTTGTTTAATTATCAACATTAGCAAATATCAACATACCTGATGTTTCTGCTGTCATCTTTTAATATTCAACTATTCTGTGGTAAATTTACATCGTATAGCATGTTTCCTTTCTTTCTAAAATTAATATAAATGCAGTTTCGGATAATTAGGAAGAATAACAATAAAAGAGATAAAAAAGCTGAATGAGACTCAGTTCAATAGAATTTCAAAAATTTAAATCTAAATGTTGACAGTCTTTGTATTTTTCATGTTTGGATGTAAACTGTAGTCAACATTTATTGACACATAAATACATATACCCTTTTAACAGAAAATGCTCAATATCTGTCTATTACTGAGATGAGATATTGTAACTATTTACATTGTTCAGACTGTTGCCCACACTATTGTCATATTCACAATGTTTTGGCCGTTATAGGCTCCCACTTCCTTCAGGATCTGTCTATATTTCTGAGATGAGGTATTGTAACTATTTACATTATTTGCATTGTTTGAACTGTAGTCCTCATCTTTATTTTCATATTCCAATGTTTCAGCTGTTTTAGGCTCCTGCCTTCTTCAGGATATGACTATATTTCTGAAATGAGGTATTGTAACTATTTACACTATTTACATTGTTTGGACTGTTATCTTCATCTTTATTGTCATATCCATGATGTTTTGGCTGTTGTACGCCAGAGCCTTCTTAAAGTGATATATGTTGGAATTTCAAACCGAACCCTTTATTTCATCCACTGGGGTAAATTGTCCTAGTTCCATGTGCCATGCCTTTTCTGAATATCTGTTTCAGTTAATTCCCTTTAGTAACTCAACTCTCCAAGTTTTTGTTCACCTCTGCTGTGACCAAGGATTGAACTCACAACTCTTTGGCTCAAGTCACTGGGTTACTTCCTCAAAGACACATGGCCCAGTGGATAAAAGTACAATGGCTGAAAGATGAGGACAACTGTCTGAACAATGTAAATAGAAAATGCTCAGTTCCATTCTAAAGTGAGTTACTAGAACGACACAAAATGTCTAATAACAATACATGCTTAAAAACTCAAAATTTGCAGATTAATAATTTAATATTTTTTATATAATGTATATAATATATATATAATGTTGTGTAAATTTTATCTATGATCCTAAGTTTCTTTTTTTATTATTTCACCTCATGCAAGGCATTAAAGCCACTAAGATGCAAGAGCAAGTGTTAGAGAATATAAGAAAAAACTACTATTAAAGAAAGAAAACAATAAAAGAATAAGAATTAAGAAGACAGACAATAATGATTGCCATTGCATTTAAATTTATGAAAATCAAAGTTGACAGAGAAGCAAGAGGCTGAAAGAGATTTCCATGTGTAAGAGAAGAAACTGCTAGCATAGAACTTACATTTACATCTTGCAATTTCAACAGTAAAATGATGAAACCTTGCCACCAATCTTGTACTGCGCTTACATTTATGAAGTCTTGATACAATAAAGGAATGTTCCTCAGAACAATTACCTTGAAAGAATTTATAAAAAAGGCAATGGCAGTGGGAAAGTGACAGAAGCTGAGATGCCAGGTCAGAACCAATAACATTGCAAATTCTTCTTTGCATTTTATCAAGAGACTCTAAATATAGAGCAGGAGCACCAGACTAGATGGAAATTAAATGTTAATTTTAAATGTGTATTTTGATGGACTGGATAACAGCTCAGAAAGAGAAATCGGAGAGCTGAGTTCCAATTCCAGTTGGGTTCGTTGCATTCACTTACATGCAAATACACTTGGGAAAGGCATGAATTCATCTCTTCTTTCCAAAACTATAGTTTGAATAGTAGGATAGAATGGCTTCTATAGCCGTGGTTGGCAAATAGTCTACTACAAAAAGAAACAGTGACCTTGGGAAAATCTTCTGCCTAATCAGTCATGAATCGAAAGAGATATGATCACCCAAGTGTGTATCAGGCAAAATATATAACTGACTGGCTGATCCACCTCATAGAGATATTCTAAGAATGTCTAATAAAAAAAGTCTTTTATTTGTATTTTGTCTGAAATGGATTAATTAATAGGATATATTTTAATAATTTGACTCTTTCTAATTTATTTGTTTTGTCAAATTTTAATTTATACAAATTCTTAATGTTTTTATTCCCAAACACTGCAAAATAAGATTTATCATAGCATATCTTACATGAGAATTAAACCATCAGTCTTGTGACCACTAATTTATATTCTAACCGCCTAAAAATTCTCTGATTCTAAATTATGCCTAAAACTAAGCCTCTGTCTTGAATACCATTATATACAAGAAATATTCTTACTATTTTTATATACAAGAAACATGTTTTATCAAATGAGTGATTCCTCATCCCTCAATCCTGTGTATTGAACTTACAATCTTGGCACCACTAATTTATTCTCTGTCCTCCTGGCTATTATTGTATATGAATCTCATTTTGCACTAGTGCTAATTGAACTTGACATCTTTTGATTCTTGTCTGATATTTATCTATTGTGTTGATGTCTCGTTTACCTGAATTTGAAAACTGACCTTTAATGCATTAGCCACTTTCTGTTTTTGTTTTTCACAAAGCAAATTGGTTGAGCTTCATATTTTACACGTTGCAATTTAATATTCACAGAAATGTTTGATTGCATTATTTAATGTGATATAAAGTAACACAATTGCTGATAACATGTCGGAAGAAAGAACGAAGAAGAGAAAAATTGCATAGCTAATGATCTCGTCTATCTCACCAGGGACAAAGAAAACCTTGAAAGTTGGATCCGGTGACGGCAAACATATTTTAATGAACAAAGATTAATAGGTGGCAATGAATGATACTTTATTTCATAAAAGCAGACTTTGAGGAGGAAAAGGAGGAGGTGGTAGTTTTTGTGGTATCAATTGTGACCCAGCTTTCAAAATAAAAGAACAGTTATTATAACCTTTTACTATTATTTACACATGTAAGAGGGTCTAAGGGAAATGGTGTGTGACCTGCCTAATGAACATTTGTAAATAGATGGCAGAACAAGGACAGAGGCTGATATTAAGGAGACAGAAATTGCTCAGAGCTAAAAAGAAAAGGTAGGAAATAGTGAAGATCCATAACTGCCCATATCCTGAAGGAATATGATATACAAAACAAGTAGAATTTTGTGTAAGATGAGCTGTCTTCTACTAAAACAGTTTCATTTTCATTAAATTACAATAAATAAAAATTGTATCTGTCTTCCTTACAACTTAGTGTATTTTAGCTTACAAGATACTGTGGCTTGGAAGATGCATCCTTGAAAAGCTCTTGAGCCTTGAATTGGATGAAATTTAAGTAAAATTTTTTTGCAGTTCTTATTCTCCTTAGTCCTGGGTATGACAATAAACTACATCTGGCAGCAAGGCCCCTGATTGGGAGATTGGAGGTTTTGAGGCACTTTGAACCACCTCTTAATTACTGTTGTTCCCAGGTCCACCCTGACCTGGGGTGGTAGCACCTGTTAGGGTCCTAGGTATCGGTTTAGTGAACCCCCCCAAACAAAAACAAAAGTATGAAAGTACAAAACTACATTTTTATAGTAGAAATACCAGTAATATATTTTTATATAAAAAAAATTACTGACAATACAATTTTATAACAAAATGACCAACAATACATTTTATCTGTGTTTAAAGGTGTTTAAAATATTTAGATTTTGGCATTAAATAATCCATAGAGGTTGATATGCCACTAAACAAAGTCAACCAACCATCCTATTCTCTTTACATTGTTTCATTTTCTATGGATTATCAACCCTTTGCCAGTTATTTAAAGCCAGAAAATATTTTTAGATTGTAAATTTGTTTATTTATTTATTTATTTTTTTGAGATAGTAATGGTTTAGTGATACAAGTCTTACTAATTAACACATAGGTGGGGGAGAAGAGGTGGATTTATACGTTTCCCAAATACGTAAGAATATAACAAACATAACAGCTCTCCAATTAACAATTCCAAGGCATTATCCATTACATCACCCTGACATCCAAGT